AGCTGGATCGAGTTGATAGGTGTATCCCCGAGTCCTACAAGGGTCTGTTTACCTGTTGTCCAATCCCACAGCTGGATTGAGTTGATAGGTGTATTCCCGAGTCCTACAAGGATCTGTTTACCTGTTGTCCAATCCCACCGCTGGATCGAGTTGATAGGTGTATTCCCGAGTCCTACAAGGGTCTGTTTACCTGTTGCCCAATCCCACCGCTGGATTGAGTTGATGGGTGTATTCCAGAGTCCTACAAGGGTCTGTTTCCCTGTTGCCCAATCCCACAGCTGGATTGAGTTGATGGGTGTATTCCCGAGTCCTACAAGTGTCTGTTTACCTGTTGCCCAATCCCACAGCTGGATCGAGTTGATAGGTGTATTCCCGAGTCCTACAAGGGTCTGTTTACCTGTTGTCCAATCCCACCGCTGGATTGAGTTGATGGGTGTATTCCCGAGTCCTACAAGGGTCTGTTTACCTGTTGTCCAATCCCAGAGCTGGATCATCAACTTTTGTAAACACGTACTGGGGGGTCATCAATTTTGTACATAATATTATTTTTAAAAATTTGCTTAGAAATTATGGGTAGGGGGGGGGGGTCATCGATTTTGTACATGACATGCAGGGGGGTCTCTTATTTTTCACATACATTTTATGGGTGTTACAACACTGTGATTTAAGTATTTTTGCCAACTTATTGAAGGCAAGTCGCTATGCTACCCTTGTATTCCTAAATGCAACTTCCTATAACCGATTCCTTATCAATGTTGTGTTTAAGGGCGATTATGATATTTCAAGTCCACACACACACACACACACACACACACACACACACAACAACAACAACACACACCGTAAAATAACAACACACACACACACACACACTTCGTGATAGGACAGTCGTGCTCTGAAAAGCAACATCAGACACTGATTTATAGGTAGTAATAGTAAACTAATGTTATTCTACTTTCAATTTTCAATAAAAACTTTAAATTGTCATTTGTTAAAAGTGAGTCTATTTTATTCTATTCTATTCTGGTTCTTGGCATATCAATGCAAGTAAGGTGTTGCCAAGTAAAAGGCTATAATTATGAAAGGCCCTTTTGCAGTTAAAATGCTTCATAATGAGCAAGAATTGCACATTGAAAGTAACCTGGGTCCTGCTCTTTGAGCTACAAACCCGTGGAGATCCAGGTTAGAATTGATCTTCAGCAACCCATGCTTGTCGTAAGGTGCAACTAACTGTGTTCAGGCTCGCTGCCTCGGTTGACACATACAATCGTATTCCAATTGCTTAGGTCGATGCTTAGGGCAATAAGAAAGTCCATAGAACATATTACTTTTATTGGCAGCATGTAAATGTTATTTTTCAATGCAGTCATCCTGTACCTGAAGGGAGTCTGTCCTTCGTTTTCACCCTGGAATAGAACTCATCTGGTTAGTCTCTCAAACAGGACTTCACACCCCGTCTTGAGATCATCATCAATTGCAGGTGTGATCTTGAGGATAATTCAGTTATTCGAATCCACATTCGAGAATGGCAAATCGATACTTGTGTCTCTCTGCAAAGTCTTAGAGAAGCAGAACTCAAGCGGACGAGAATTCCTCTTCTGTTTTCCATTCTTGTGTCTTTACGTTTTGTCGTCAACTCAACATAATCAGCTCCTGTGAATGCCAAATATAGTAGCCATTTTCTTGCTGGTTGATGGTTGAGTTTGAAATATCTTTTGTGCTAGGGAATGATTGTACTTCGATTCCTGTCATCCCAGTAATGAATACAGAGCATGGATCTGCATTAGAGATTAGCTCTCGACTGGATTGAACGTTAGTGCCGATCGTATGCACTGACGTTTCGGGGTACCGATCTTACCTTACACATGTGAAAATGTTCATGGATTAAATGTTGTTCAGTCTGCTGCTTAATGAATTTCCATATGTACAGTATTTGTATTGAGACTAACGAGGGGGATCCAGTGGTCAGGTTCGCTGACTTGGTTGACACATTTCATCGATCGATGGCCATGACATCAATCACTGGGTTGTCTGGTCCAGACTCGATGATTTACAGACCACAGTCATAAAGATGGAATATTGCTTAGTGTGGCGTTAAACCTCCATTGACATCGTCCAGTATGGTTCAATTCATCAATATGGAAATCGGTAGGACGTGATACAAGATGAACTTGATTACATATTTACCCTTGAAATTTAGGAAAACTGAAGACAGCTTGCAATTATAATGTCGATAAAATTACTTCCATGTTGTAGTAGGACAGGACTGCGTGTCACCAGAACAAGGATGTTTATGATGTTGCTCGTGATATTAATTCATTTTTCCTGACTCGATTATTTATGACTTGAATATTACTGAAAGACAACACTTCCTCTTTCTTTCATCGAAATATCGGCATTTCCTTATAACATGGGTACCTGCAGATCAAGTATTGTGACCGACCGAGGTTCATGCTGATGACAAGCATGGATATATAGAGCATATTGAATTGCATGTAGTTAGTAGCCGAATTAATACTTCACAATATATTTGGTCACTCGTTTCAACACAAGTAGTTATCAGTGCTGTTAAATCTGTCTGTATTAGTTCGGCGTTTTGCAAGTTTCGGGTGGAAAAGTATTTCCTTGTTCATATCTATTCCTACTTTAGATATGTTGAAGTGCATATAGTATCTGTGTCAAAACATCTGACAGAATAAATCATACTCTACAATAAAACAAACAACCATAATATTAACTGACTGACTGACTGACTGAGTTTGGTTTTACGCCGCTTTTAGCAATATTCCAGCAACATCACGGCGGGGGACACCAGAAATGGGCTTCACACATTGTACCGTTGTGGAGATTCGAACCCGGGTCTTCGGCGTGACGAGCCAACGCCTTAACCACTAGGCTACCCCACCGCCCCCATAATATTAACAGCTCCAGAAGTGATTTCACTTAAACAAAACCGATCAGCTTTGCTTCGATATAGGAGCATTTATCATAGATATTGTTCCGCACTATATGTGAAATGTTGCCACAACATGTTTACATCGTTTTTAAATTCAACCTGAATCTTAGGAAAGAGTTTATGGTTAACTGTTTAGACGGCCGATAAGGTTCTAACGTAAGAGGTGGGCACAATCTATGTCGTCATTCATGGCCCAAAGGGTCAATTTAGTTTTACGGCGCTTTTAGCAATATTCCAGTGACGGGAGTCACCAGACATGGGCTTCACACGTTATACCCATGTGGGGAATCGAACCCGGGTCTTCCGTGTGACCTGCGAATGCTTTCACAAATGGGATTCCCCTCCACCCCCCTCATCATAATACCGTAGCATATTGGATTCAAACTCCACTTTAACACCTCAGCAGCTGATCCGTAAAACCACCCACGTGGACAGCTGGGATTACATGCCCCTTTAAGCAAGTACATTACTTAAACATGAATTCTAATGCAATTGGGTTACAACCAAATCATTACTCTGAGACTTCTAAATACCCCCTCATCTACAGCTGCATTTTCAAAGTGAGTCCAAACACAATGATTTCACAACATAGATTTCAATCCAGAAAACTTTATTTCATTGCATTGTTCTGGAAAACTGCAACAGCAATATATCAGGTTCTCAATACACATAAGGATATGCAAATGAAGCATGTGAATACGTACCATCACCCTCATCTTTCATGCCCATCCACAAATTGTAACCAAATTAACATATTGAACAATATTACAGCTTTTCAAACTACAAAAGTAAATGATTACACAATACACTTTCTTAGTAAAGTACAAATTCTAGTACTTTTGGGGGGTTGAGTCCCAATCGGATTTGAACCCACACCCTCAGATTGAGGCACCTAATCGCCAGCACACAAAGTCAGCCGCCTAACCCGCTCAGCCATCCCTACTTCCATAAAAATGATATATGGGCAACTGGAGGTCTAGACTGCAGCCTTTGTGTACCCCTCTGAGAAGTGTAAATTGGCACAGCTCCACACAGAAAGCTATGATTACACAATGCCATTTCAGAAAGTGGTCAAATGTAACATATGTTATATTTGGGATTACACTTTCTCAGTAAAGTACAAATTCTAGTACTTTTGGGGGGTTCGAACCCACACCCTCAGAGTAAGGCACTTAATCGCCAGCACACAAGGTCAGCCCCCATATTCAGTCCCACTCTGAGGGTTTGTGTTCGAATCCCGCATGGGACTCAACACAAAAGAAGTACTAGAATTTGTACTTTACTAAGCAAGTTTAATCCCAAATATAACATGTTACAAAAGTAAATTTGGTATGAATCTTCCAACAGAAAGTGACCTCGTTTTTTAAAATCCTTTATTGGTTCACTTCAAGAATTTTCAAAAGTGAGTGAGTGAGTGAGTGAGTATGGTACAATATCACAGCAGGGTACACCAGAAATGGGCTTCACACATTCTACCTGTGTGGGGAATCGAACCCAGGTCTTCAGCATGATGAGCGGACACTTCAACCATAAGGCTACCCCACTGCCCAAGAATTTTCAAGACATTGATGAGTTAATATTTAAACAAATGGCAGTATCTTCCAATTTTAAAATATATTTTGGTGGCGGTAATGTTAGCTAACACTCTACAACCTTCTCAAGAAAACATTACTCAAGGCATCAGACCAATGCCAATATAAAACAAGCGTAATTTTGATACACGTTCCTGTACATATTCATTAGTTAAAGAGGATTATTTTGTGGTCTTTGCTTTTGACGTTATAAATCACTCACACTGAATACATTCTCAGTTCAAACTGTACTTGATCTGGTATGGTACTCTGCAGACAGGTGACTTACAGCTTGAGGCCTCTATTACATGGTATGTTTCTTGCGATGAAGGACTTTTCGACTGCAAGGGATTCACATTATGATGCGAGGAATCTGAAAGATCTGTTTTCCCACGTGAGCGAGCATCTCATTGTTAACTACCTGAGGGAAGTTGATCTGTACCATAAATTGTAACTATGTACTAAGAATAACGAATTGCTTGCTTTTGAATTGGGTGCTATGACATTTTCTGTTTTTAAATAATAATGTAATGAATACATATGTTTTTAAAATAAAACTCATTTGGACTTTGTACTTAAAATGTTTACGAATGCAGATTTGATCTCTTAAACTATATGGCTGGAATAATGTGACGTAAAACCCAACTCCACTATACTCTATTACATGAAAGGGAACTAACATTCCGTTGTGTAGCAGAAAGACATTGCTTGCTGAAACAAAACATTTATATTTTATACCTTCAAAATATGTTATTGTAAACAAGGGTTGTATAAATGCAATAAACATAAAATGCATGGACACTGACAATAAAGGGAATAGATGGAAGCCCATTCTAAGCGATTCTAAGTCAATAAGCAGTGATGTGCAAGCTCTTGTAAATACTTGCTGGAAATACCTCTTATATAATGTTCGTTTCATTCAACATGTAACCAGAATATATACATGTATCAACTGGTACACATGACCTAATGATACAGTATTCTTGTTCATACACCCCAATGTTAATAAGCTTGTCACAGAGACAAGCCTGCAGTAGTGCACTACTGCACTTATGAATCCATGACCTACAAAAATAAAACCTTGTAGACACTTCACAGTTAAATACCTTCAATTAAATCAAACAAGTCCACTGCTCATTTCAGACTAATTCATTAAACATAACCAGCAGCTTCACCTTTTGGATCTTGAGAAAAGCAGTGTACAGCACTGTATACAAGTGACTGCTTCAAAGGTTGAAGCATTAGAGTTCAATCAGTAGGCATGGCTCCAAGAAATAAGACCTTCCGTAATTTTCAAGTAAGATTTCCATGCCACTGACTGAGTTTGGCTTACGCCGCTTTTAGCAATATTTCAGCAACATCACGGCGGGGGACACCAGAAATGGGCTTCACACATTGTACCCATGTGGGGATTCGAACCCAGGTCTTCAACGTTACGAGCCAACGCTTTAACCATTAGGCTACCCCACCGCCCCATTTCCATGCCAACCAACACACCTAAGATTGTGGCAGTCTATGCCTAAGGGATCACAGTTGACTGTGTCTTCAGGTATAATTTCAGTAAATTTAAGTACTTGTAGAGGAAGCAGGGTTTTTTTCACCCAAAATGTCATAAAAACCTAAGTTCACTGCAATGAACATATTTCTGATTAAGAAAATCCATACTAGAAACAATATTGGGATGAAAAATTAGGAAAAGTTTAAAATTAGAGCACATCATGTGAGTAGAGTCTGAGACCCGCTACATACATACTCTTATATACATATGTTTGTTATCAGAAACATGATTATCAGTCTTTAAATAACAATAACGCCTAACTTCATGAACTTTACATTCCAAGTTCAACATTAATTTTTCATAACATGAGGAACAGTAACTTCACATTTTCCATATGTATAAAAGGTTCTGCACATCAACAGAAATAAAGCAACATTCTTTCTGTGGATTGGAAATATCAACACCATTATAATCTCATTAAAGTTATCTAATTTTTGAAAGTACGGCAGCTCTTCTGTCAGTGTTCTGGAATAAGGCCCTTATGAGCTGCTTAATCTCATTTGCGGAGAAATCAAGAGCCAGAGGCCCCTTCTTCTCTGCCCACCGATCACTAATCTTTTGTAGACTTGCGTTCAGAACAAGGTGGAGTTCTTTGAACTTGCGCCACTTGGATACGTTCCTCTGCAGCTCGACATCCAAGTTGTCTGCCTTGTCTGTGGGGGTGTTGAACAGCGGTCCCGCCTTCTCCAGCACTATGGAGAGAAGACTGTGGAGATGTCGGGCGTCGTCGGAGGAGATATCCTCAAGGACACAGATGTAATCTGTTAGCTCCGACACCATTGTGTTTACCAGCATTCCTGGAGTTGTTAATAATAACATGAGTAATTTTTCATACAGCGGTACTATTGTAAGAATAATCCATAATACAAAATGTTCTTCGAGATATACTTGTAGATTTATTAACTCTATTTCATGAACAAGGAATAGTCAATTATATTACAGTTAGTATGATACTAAAATATTCTGTGTATATATCGATATGCATATAATTATGTCTTTCAAGCATATCTGAAGTGATCTGTAATGACAAATCATTAATCATAATAACTGAGATGAATACAGTTGGCAATTAATACGAACTGAGGTGAGAACCCACAAACAACTTCACAGACAAGGGGCATAACTGTAAGAGAGCCATGGACCAGGTTTGAAGCAGTGAAAGAAAGTTTTGTTTTGGTTGTTGTTTAACGCCGCACTCAGCAATATTCCAGCTATATGGCGGCGGTTCTGTAAATAATCGAGTCTGGACCCAGACAATCCAGTGATCAACAGCATGAGCATCGATCTACGCAATTGAGATATGATGACAAGTGCCAACCAAGTCAGCAAGCCTGACCACCCAGTCCCGTTAGTTGCCTCTTATGACAAGCATGGGTTGCTCAAGACCAATTCTGACCCCGATCTTCATGGATGGGTTCAGTGTAAGACAGAACATCTGATAACAGCAGCACATTAATGAAAACTTGTTACATTCAGTATTCCATCTTTTCCTCCTCACCTATAACCTTTCTGTACATGTTGACAGGCAGTACTTCCTGCCACACATTCTGCAGGTGGGTCAGCTGATGGAGGCACTGCTTAATGGACCGTTCAGCTGCAAAGTATTGTTCGTCGTCCGACACACCGCTGAAACCTGCCAAAACATTACTTTATAGAGACACACTGTAATACTCTACTCGTGGTAGTTATCAATAAATATGGTGTATAAAATACATATATAAATATTTAACTGCTTTCCCTAAAATTGCAGATAGATGAACAATAATAGTTTACAGAAACAAAATCACAACATTATTACAGCTTTCTTACTCATCTCAAAGATATTTACTTGTATCATTTTTTTAAGAAATAAAACAACCGGGATGTGTCGTGAGGGCTATATTTGTGAAGCATTTCTCCATGTTACTGCTTAAAAAAATTAGAAATGAATAGCACTGACTGAAACAGTTAAACTGTTAACATATTTGATTTGTTCAAGCAGGACCAGCTAAAGCTCTAAGGTCTAGTAAAATATCGCATTAGTTCTAGAATTTCTAACGCTGATCAAAACTGCCTTTCAAAAAACTCCTTCACACATTCAGTAGAGATCCATCAGATCATACTCTGAAAAGCAACAATCCTCATATCATCAATATCATCAGGGACACAATCTGTTCTCACCATTTGATCCCTTCAGTGACTCGGAGATCTGGGTCTTCTGAGTGTTCAGCTGCTCCTGGAAGCTTTCTGTGCCTATTTTCTTGATTTTAATGATCAGGTCAACAAATGTGGCATTGAGAGTTGCCGGCAGCTTCTTGCTGAACTGATGTCCTAGAGTCATCAAGTGGTGGGCGATAAACATACAGTTGTTGTGGTGTAAAGCTGCAACAAGAAGACAGTCATCAATATCCCCCGCAATGGCAAAATACTCTACATGAATATGTCTACGAGTTATGATTATGTCAAATGTTTTGGTGTGTATATAGAAAAGTGGAAGGAGAGTATTGAAAGGTTTTAAAGTTTTGCTCCAGAAAGGAGTCTAAGTCAAACTTGCTGCCATGGAAACAGAAAAAAATATTTAATTCAAAACACAAAAACTACCAAAAGGCACCAGTACACCACCAGATCTATCCATGTGCCAAGATTGGTGAAGAAATATTAAACGGTTTTAAAGTTCTGCTCCGGAAAAGACAAATGTGAACAGACGCACAGACACACGGATGCACGGATGCACTGACGGGGTCCATTTTAATACTCCCCGCAAAAAGCATTGCGGGGATAATAAATAGCAAACAACACAGTAAATCATACCTCACATTCTCAGGAGAAATGCTGATTTTAGGTGGTTTTTAATATGAGTGAGTGGTTTTACGCCGCTTTTAGCAATATTCCAGCAATATCACAGGGGGGACACCAGAAGTGGGCTTCACACATTGTACCGATGTGGGGAATCGAACTCGAGTCTTCGACATGGCCAGCAAATGTTTTAACCACTAGGCTACCCCACCACTCCTTTTTGAAATGAAAACAGTTGAGGTGTAACAGTACTATGAGGCCATGATACAACATCTTCCCCAATAATATGGGTGCGATATGATCCGTATCTCCATACAGTACTTATATCATGTATTTCCTCCCTTTTTGCAGGTGATCACACTGCTCATACATTTGTCTTCAAATTTCAGTAAACAATATTGGGATATTGATAGGGAGTGATTCGCGTATTGGGAGACAGGTCCTGTAAATCGATGCCTTTTACCGTCAGCCTCATATTGATATACTGTATTATCACATCATTGCAGTACTTGATAAACATTACCGTTACATGAAAAATCTTGCCATTGCTTTAACAAAGTTCAGATATCATCCAGTTGAAATTTAGCCTAAAAGAGGCCATCAAGCCACACCAAAAAGCTTGAAGACCTGACTGACTGACTGAGTTTGGTTTTACGCCGCTTTTAGCAATATTCCAGCAACATCACGGCGGGGGACACCAGAAATGGGCTTCACACATTGTACCCATGTGAGGATTCGAACCCGGGTCTTCGGCGTGACGAGCGAACGCTTTAACCACTAGGCTACCCCACCGCCCCTTGAAGACCTGAAGTAACATGTGATCTCAATATGCTACAAAGGAATTCCCTTTTTGCACACAAGTGTGAAAGTTCCATTATGTTTTGACTGAACATACCTCACAAAAAAAAGAATTTCTAAGGATACATATGTTGAGTGGCAGCTATATATACTGTGTAACAATGTTCCAAGTGTAATAATTACCTTCAGATTGTACATGTGATATTTAGTGAGGGACAATGGTGTGCTATATTTAGACAGTTCTGGAAGGTACTACAGAGTAGTACCACCCTATGGGCTTTTGTGGAGCAGATTTGGAAAATTTTCCAGCATCTTTTGCTTTGGTATATAAAGGGAGTTAACTCTTGCCTCTCTTCACATGACATCTCAAGTTACAGAGGCAGATGAGCAGCATTGTGTATGTGATCATTATACCATGCTTGCTGAGAGGTGAAAGTTTCACCACTGTCTATATTGCTATGATCACTGCTCTTGTAATTATATTACCTTTGAAATTCTACTGCCACTCTATCTTGCACTGCAATAGTGATATCTTTGTAGTCATTTGACTCATTTGTAATCATAACATATTGCTTTGTTTGTTGGTTTCACAACTAGTTTTTCACAGACTGAATCCTGGTTAACTTTCTAGTTTCAAACTGGGAATCAACATGTAATTTTGAAGAATCCTTGTGTTTTATAAATTCAGTTCAGAATGAGAATGAAAAGGGATTCTGTCCAGTGTGGTGACCGCTGGCCTCACAAGAATGTCAACAATAAGTGAGGTGAGGTGAAATTGGGTTTAACGTCGTGCTTGAGAATATTTCGCTCATATGACGACGTGCATGTGTGTGTATGTGTATGTGCGGCTGCTTGTACTAGCCCAGACTTAAGCTGGTTATATAGTGCTAGCCCACTGAGATACCATGCCGCAGTGAAGCATGAATACCCCACTCAGACACATTATACTGACTCCGAGCCGACCAGTCCTTGTTGTACCCTTTAACGCTGAGCACCAGGCAGCGACCAACAAGTATCATATTTTTAATGTCTTTTGGTATGACGCGGCCGGGGATCGAACCCACGACCTTCCGGTCTCTCCGGGTGGACGCTCTAACCACTACACCACGGAGGCGGTCTGTCAACAATAAGTAGGCTGTTCATCTAATATGATACAGATTGTCGACACTGAAGCTATGACGACACTGAAGCTAACACATGCTTTCTACAACCAAATGCTACCACTTTGTTTCATATTTGAGAATTCTTGCTGAAAGCATGCAAAACATCCATAATCAGAGCTGTCATTACTTTTGAAGCCTGTGTACAAAGGCTCCTGCTGAAACTACCTGAAGCCTTACTCAATGTTCATGTTAGAGTTACCTGTGAGTTGAGGGAGTGTGGCAAGACTCTGTCTGTGGTATGTGGGGAACACACCACAGTATAGCTCAAAGATGTTCCTCACAGCATAAAACATCTGGATAGCACACTGAGGCGAGCTCTCTGTGGCCTCATGGAGGGTTTCGTAGGCAAGGTTCATCAGACAGTTTACTGAAGAGCTGCAAAATGTTGTGTAAATAGTGAGCATGTTCTCCGAAACTACCAGATATTGTGTTACTGAGAATAGAGTGTGGCAGTTGAATTTAAAGAATGTTTGAATTTCAGTTATCAACAGCATGTTTCATCATAAAAACATAATTTACACTAAGATTTCAAGTTACAATGTTCTGTCAAAGATGACATCATAATCAAATGACATCACTAACTAGTATGCCCCTAAAACACAACATATTAACTGTTAACAGTACAAATGCACTGACATGACCATTATCATGATTATCAAACATAAATACCTATATAATATATAAGCATAAATGTATGTATATAAATATATCCTGCAACAAACCTAATGTGACAAGTTGGCATCTTGAATGTGCTACCACTGAGGGGCACCTCACAGCTGATCTCCACCCTCCTTGTCTTTTTACTGGATGGACCAGAGTCAAGCTGAGTTACCTCCCCTAATGGTTGGTCATCCGATATGACTGTGGTGTTGTGTATCTCTGAAGTCATCATCTGTCGAGCCTGTTCCAAAATCTCCTGGCATTTCTTGTTGGCAAATAAAACATCCACATTAAGGACATAGTCGGTTAACATGGAGTTGTCCGATTTGATGAAACCCATGTCCAGGAGTTGCGTCTGAAACAACTCTGTCCTGGCCACAACTTCCTGGAAGTGTTCTAGGTCCTTCCTGTTGGTGGGTATTGCACGAGAGAGGCACTCCTTCACAATTACATCCACTGCCTGGTTGGAGATCTCCATCCCTAGCAGTTCCATCAGGGTTACAGAAGAGTCGGGTGCTATTGTGAACTTCAGGAATTTAATATTCAGATAATGCAGCATACTGAACATATTGTCAAGAACAGTTACATAACTACCAGTGACCTTTTTACTGGAAGTCACTGAAACCCACAGAATGTTTGTGTTAGAATCTGACTTGGTGTCAATAAATACTTTCTCATTCAAGACAAGAGGTTTGATGAAACAACTCAACAATTTTTCTCCAAAACTTTTTTATCTTGAGTTGAAGAACCTCCATCATTGCCATAGCAACTACCATCTCCTGAACCACCTCAGCTTCTGTTTCGCCTGTCACAAGTTTCAGCTCCCACTCTCCTCCTGCACTGGCATCAGCTGTGGTCCAGAATATATGCTCCTTCCACACATCACCCAGGTCGAAGATGAACTTTTGTTTCTGAACCTCGCACTCTGTGCGGAGACTGGCCATGATGGTCATCTCGCCCTGTCGGTCATGCACTGTCTGCTGAAGCAGACCATACACCGTTCCAGGCAGACAGCAGCCTCTGAGTACTTCTTCTCCCTTAGGGCTTTTTCTCTGTTCTCCAGCAGGTCCTGGAACTTGGCCAGCCTCTCCAGGACAGTCATCACTGATGTCATCTCCTGGAGTTCCCTGGTAAGACTCTGAAACTCTCCTGTTGACATGTTCAACTGCCCTCGAATCTGAAGTATAACCATTCGTTTTAGCAATCATGGTGTTTATTTAAAAAATGTCTGTTCTATTAAAACCAAAAAAGGGACCCTAGTACATGGTTACTCAATATATCTATACATTTCACTATTATTTCAATTTTAACATAACAGTATTATTGGGATAAAAACATAATACATTTAGGTTACACATTCCAGTGTTTCAGGCCATGTAACTCTCATGTTACATTCTCGAAAGTCAGAACCTTGATCACACTCATAGAGTTCTAGAATATGTCCATTAAATTATTTTCAAAGTGGATGCAAACCATGGGTGGGTTTAAGTGATCTATTTTCGTGTCAAGTATCTGAGTCCAGTGAGAATACCCTCAATACAATATGGATAGTGTAAATACAAATGCTCAGCATGTGCTTTTACTAAGGGACATCATTCTCAACAATAACATACTAAATCATATTTTAGCCCATTGGCCTAAAAACAGTGGGAAATGATTTTGGGCCCATGAGCTTAATTTCTCATGGACTAAAATACAGGAAATCCTGGTAATTTGACCGTGACCTTCTGATATGAAAACTCAGGTCCCCCTTAGTTTATAATACCTCAGATTCAATCTTCTCTGTGACACATGACATTTCTTCTGAGAGCACTTGCACCTTCTCAGCAAGCTCAGAAGATTCTCCATAGCAAGGATCAAATTCCTTATACTTCTTTGTCACAAGGTCTTGTACCTCAGCCTTCATTTCATCTGTCTTTTTAGCAAGAGTGCTCAGTTTGCCCAAAATTTCTTCTTTCTCCAGCTGGGCTGAAATGTATAAACAGTCCTCAAGAATTAGAATAAATGACTGAAATTACTTATAATCGTAGGTGAACAGTTTTTGTTTCTAGTCGTTTGCAGTCTGATGTCACACACAACAAGATTTCAGCTGTAGGAATGCTGTCTGAAAATGAATAAGTATGGACTAGACAATCCAGTGATTGATATTGTCAATAACCACCCATGTCCCCCCAGGTCACCAGGCTTGATTTCTCAACCTATATAGCCACTTACAACTAGCACAGATTGCTGTCGACAATTCCTATATGTTCTAACCAGGAATGCCCAAGTGGTAGGTGTATGCAATACAACATGTCTAAAACTGGTATATGAAACCCCTCTACCATTTTGTATGTGTTCTGATTTAAGCAAATATGATCATGATGACCAAAAGAGACTGCATGAAAGTTATCAAGATGAACATAACAAGAGAGTGACATTTTCGTATTCTTAACCCACATTGTAAAACAGGTAACATAACAAACAGTCTTTGCAAGGATATTTGCAAGAAGTATAATCGGTTGACACACAAATTTTTACCTACTAGTATTTCTTGATTGACTGACTGACTATTATTGCTGGTTAACAAATGCAATCAAAATTGGGAGCACCTTTAGAATACAGCACCACAACTTCTCGTGAGGACGATCTCTGACGTGGGTCACATGTCATTAAGACAAGCAACCAGTTTGTGAGAACCCGTCGGACGCAGACCTTCGGATTGTTAGATCAACAGCTAACCGACGTCCACACTGTTACACAACGTGCAAATTTATCGAGTCATTCCTGTGACATGATGTTAATCTAATGGACCCGATGCCATTTGGCACACTCGTCCAATTCCGTAATCTACAAGATACCGTGTGGCGTGGAATGAGCCGATATACCTCAAACTGAAAAGGGTTGTTGACGTTAGGCGTCAGACGTCGATTTCACGGTGCATGCATGAATGAAGCGCTTTTATAAAAATAGGGTGATTTTGTGACAGAAAAGTGATGGAGGGAACACTGTAAGGATAATGTGGATCGCACTAAGGAACAAGGGAGACATGAACATGTCTAATGACGGCACGAGGGTGAGTTAGCCTTCGAATCATTACTGAACAAATGTTGTGTGTGAAAGAGTCTTGAGTGCAAATTCCAGGCCAATTTCCATTTGCCCAAATTTCTACATCAAACCATTTCATGGTGTACTTTCGACGTTTTTGGTTTCCCGTTTTTGTGTGAAAAAAGTATTAAAATGAAAAAGGAAAAACAGCGAATGGTACTCACGTATTACACCAGACATGTACCTACTATATTGGATTAGGACCCTAACCCTAAGCCCTAAACCCCTAGCCCTAACCCTGACAGTGACACCTTGAAATAATCCCAATAAATATAACAGATTGACCGAACCAGCATGAACATTGCTGACGTGTCCAGTGTAACCCATTCTTACTGCTTCGAAAAATAAAATACTAATAAAAAACATTTCTACGTAATAGTGAAAATTACTGAATGAAAAAAATATATATGTATGTCAGTTAGATTTGTAAATCATTTAGACCTGATAGTTACATTGAAACCGAAATATAAAATATATTTATCCATAATTTAAATATTTAAATTGACCAAAATTGCAAATAATAGAATATGGCAGAATGTTACCGGTGTAACGCATTCTTACTAAATTTAATAACTACAAGACCCGTGAAGATCCGGGTTAGAATGAACCTTCAGTAGCCCATGCTTGTCGTACAAGGTGACATAACTATAAGGTTTACTCCCAAAAGTTAGACGTCCCTAAAGTCAGACATCCCAATTGTCAGACAAATCAATCAGGCGTGACTGTGATTACAACCTAGTCTTACCCACTGAACCTCAGTGCAACCAACCATAACCTTTGTTGTTTTAACGCGTCTAACTTTTGGGACGTCTAACTTTTGGGAGGACACCAGCTAGCAGAGATGAAACATCAGTGAGCGGAGCTTATTCGCACTCGCTGAGCTAGACAACCGTGTTGTTATACAGGCATCATAGGCAGAGGCGTAGCTGCCATTGTATAAAAAAACCCGGGCTTACACACGATTGTTGCTGAAAAGGTTGGGCAAGCCGTCAATATTATCTAAATATATAGCTTTGCAACCTATCGGGCTTACACGAAAAAATTGGCTTGCTACGCACCTGATAGTGCATTGTTTCGAGAATGTGCTTTCGAACAAAATCACATATAAGTATGTAAAAGGGTATTATGACGTATTTTTAAAGTTTGTGGTGCTGTATTCTAAAGGTAGGCCCAAAATTTGATATCTTTTACTTTCAGGTTATTCTTTGAAAGAAAAATACTTTATGAATTTGGATAACTAGGTTAATATATAAATTGTCTACATGGTCTACCAGCATGACCAGGTGAGAAGCAGCTAGTTAATAGGTGCAGCAGAGCAACTGACAGTGATATTAACTTTGAGCTTGTCATGTGTTTACAAAATTACATGTGTCTACGGACAGCATCCTCGAAAATCTCCAGGGTATACGTTCCAATAAATCTCTAATAGTGTAGATTTTCGGAACTTATTCACTGGAGATTATCAAGGATGTAACTGGAGATTATCAAGGATGTATAGACAGTTGAATCTTGCTTGCATAGCTCATACACAGAAGCTGTTCACAATAGCACTAGCCTAACAATGTATCTTACCAGACATAAACGAGATAAACAGTATCACAGAATATTATCAGTTGCAATGTTTTGTCCATGATCCTAAGAAATGTTCGTCCACTCTTGCAAGATCAATCTGCCACAGAATGGTGTAGTTCAAGATACTGTTGAAAACATAAACTGTAACAGCTAATTAAAACTTATCACAACACCTATTACAAGTGTCAGATATCTGGCATTCTCTTAGGGCGGCCTATGCCAAACTACAAATTCACTTTATTATTGTATATTGTCAAATAAACATTGTATTCTAGGAGACATCTATAAAATAGTTCGTTGAAGGAAACTGATCGAAAACCGAACAAGAATGTTGAAAATGTATACGGACGCTTATTTTGATAAACGTGTAGACGCATTTTCACTTACCTGCTGAAGACAAGACTTCTGCAACAAATGAAGCCATCTTGTTCTGCTTACAGATCAAATTCCTACGTGTCACTTCATATTTCAGAACTGAAAATTCGAACCAGGTGCGCCAAATTTTAATTCGTGTTTACAGGAAGTGACGTCAGAGACACGTCTGTAACGGTACTTTCGTATTATTTGTAGTCACAACTTGTCGCGCCATGAATTATTCCCAAATCAAAAACCAAACCTTTTCAAATAATAATGTGACCAAGCTTAGTGTCTTTCGTTTGATTCCAACTTCGGGAACCGTTCCTCGTGTTATCCACAGGGGTTGAAACGATAAAAACTGCCATCAAGGTATATTCAGTCACTGATGGGGTCTTCGTACTACATGTATATATAAAAGGATAGTACTAAGACCCCATCAGTGACAGTATATACCTGGATGGCAGTTTTTAGCGTTACAAGCCCCTGTGGTGCTATCAACCACTCGTTTGCCTTGCTTAGAATCACTTTTTATTTATAAGCTGCCAATGTGGTGCTATCGACCACTCGTTTGCCTTGCTTAGAATCACTTTTTATTTATAAGCTGCCAATGTTGTGAATATAAAGGCCATATAAATGTTTGAGCACTTATCTGTAATTATCTCAGGTCTAAGGAGTCCAAGTGTGTTTATGTAAAGCCTTGAAAGTCACAAGTGTACCCTTGGAATAAAGAAAGAATAGTAAAACCTTTGTTAGAGAGTGTTTTAGAGCCCCGAACCAAAAAAATAAAAACATCTATTTACGTCAAGTTTCAGTACGCGTGAAGAAGTGAACAAACGGTGGATCTACAGTTGTCGTCTTGTGATTTTAGTGTTAGATAGGATTTATATGATAAAGATATCAGCCACTATCATATATTTGACATTGTGAAGGCAATAATAGCAACTATAAATCCAGTATGCGTCATAGCTGTACATAATTACAGTCAGAACTGTGAAGGCAATAATAACAACTATATAAATCCAATATACGTCATCTGTACATAATTATAGTCAGAAATGTGAAGGCAATAATAACAAGTATAAATGCAGTATACGTCATCTGTACATAATAGTCAGAAATGTTAAGGCAAAAATAACAAGTATAAATCCAATATACGTCATCTGTACATAATAGTCAGAAATGTGAAGGCAATAATAACTATAAATCCAATATACGTCATCTGTACCAGGGATACTCTACAACTTATATAGTCTCCCTGTCTGTACATAATAGTCTTACATTGTCTGTTTTGTCCGACTGCAGCACAGATAACTGAAAAGGAGGTTTCATTTTTTTTATAAAGCTATAGCGAGGAGTGTTTACTTTTTTCATATTTACGGATACTGCGTGCATGCATATTGCATATTATGATATAATATTTTTCATAACAGTGCATGAACAATGCATGTATTCGCCACGATATGTCTCCAGGATTTGTTTACATTTTGCGACGATACAGATTTTAACGGTGTAACTTATTAAAAATGAGCCAATATAGCATCTTATTGATCGTTATAATTTGTTATAGTCCAAATCCATACCTCATACACAAACTGTCCGCAAATTTTGAAACAGACTATAGATATATTATTGGGACATCACCTCCTTTGGATTATTGGTTTCGTTCCACAAATAACATACTATATGAATATCTTACCGTCAAATGTTATAAAGCTATTATTATGTTGCCATACACGAATACAATATCACTTTGGAAACCGAAAATATTGTAAGGGTTCTTCGCGTCTACTGGAGGTCACTCTGTACCTCACTCGCTAAAGAGTTCTCTCTTTCTGCATGTGGAGTTTGTGATACAACACTTCAGTCTCGTTTGCTCTCACAATGTTGTCGAAGACAGCTGTGGGGATCGCCGCCGGGGCTGGCCTTTGTTTTCTGGGTTATTGTATATATTTTGATAAGAAGAGGAGAAGTGATCCAAATTTCAAACAAAACTTAAGAGAAAGTAAGTTGTCACTGCGTCCTACATGGCATCTATTGAACTATTCAACTTGTCCATTCCACCTATTTCAACATATAATTATCTGATGCAATTCACTATGTCAGTGACACCTTATATGTTGTCTCCAAACAGTTCTCGGAAAGACTTCCGCCAGTATATCACCTTATTTTAATTCTATTCAAATCATATCACCTGGATATATATTCCTCATGTGATAAGGATGAGTTTTAGCATGTTTCTTTTATTGTATCTGAACATACTCAAAGACATACCCAACTTCTGAAAATGCCTCTCAAAGAAATTTATCCCCATCGATATACGGACGGAAGTCCTACTGTACATCATTTTGGGTTGATGGGAACCTAGTACTTAGTATCTTATTGTATATGAATTCTAATCACCCCAAATTATGTTTCTATGTGAAGTTAGATACAAAGATTGTATAGTCAAAATGAAAATAGGACAAAAATGTATTCCATGTTTTCACTGGCTTTATTCATTTATTTATTCATAAATTGATGAATTCATGCTATTAAAGTTATAATTGTCATTTATTCTGTTGCAGCATATAAGAACATGTTGGGAAAGTAGTATGTATTAGTTCTAAATCACAGAAGAAGATAGTGTTCACATTTGGATAAGAAGAATTTGTTTTCTTAAATTCTTTGTGTCACAAACCTTTGAATTTTCTATAATGTAGCTGCACCAGGTTTATAAATCTTTATGGGGCGTTGGGATAGCCTAGTGGTTAAAGCGTTAGCTTGGTACGCCGAAAACCCGGGTTCGATTCCCCACATGGGTACATTGTGTGAAGCTCATATCTGGTGTCCCCCACCATGATATTGCTGGAATATTGCTTAAAGCGGCTTAAAAGCAAACTTGCTCACTCACAGATCTTTAATTACTCCACTTGCCTTCAAACTGAACAGAACATATAAACATGTTATTGGACAATTCAGTAAGGAGAAAGTCTTTACAACACATGAGGGTTATTCAGTAACAGGGCTGTATGGGCGTATGTATGTATAGAAAATAGGCACGATACGGAAGGAAATAATTTAGAAAACGTAGCAGATAGGGCTGCAACAATTCGGTTCAATTCATCGAAAATCAAATCTGACACCTTAGTTTCGATTTTCAATAACCATTATCACTATTTCGATTCGATATTTGAATATCTATCTAAAATATGTCCACACAGCGAGAACATAATTTTGACTCCAACTTGAGCAGTTTCGAACGCTGAAATGAGGCTAAACATGATTGGTTTGATGCCAGGCTAATTATCCAATGAGACATTGGCAAGTTGACGATGAATTTCACGCTAAAAAGCCGACTCACTTGAACTCTGAGAGTTCTATGAATCTGATGTTTTTACTTGTATGAAGAATCAAATCGAAAATGATCGAATCGAGGGTCGAAAATCGAATCGAATCGAGGTCTGGATGAATCGTTGCAGCCCTGGTAGCAGGTACACACCACAGCAATGATGTACGGTCTTAGGATCATTTGAAGACATTTTTTATCTAAAATATATCAATCTAATTTCCAGCAGTGTCCCATCTTTGAATTTATGTGATAGCGGCACGTTTGGTTTCCCATGTCGCGTTCTGGGAATCCCAGTTGCTAAGGAAATCGTGTATCATCTCAGTAAAATTTGATTGGTCAAAATTGCACATGTGCAGGTAAACATGGCAGCACATGTTAAAGTTGTGGCATGAACCTTACTACAATCTTTAATTGTTTCAGTCTTTCATTTTCAGTTAGAAATGACCTTCTGACATTTTGAATGAACAGTTTACTGTTTTGTAACAAAACCATAACACAAACAACAAAGTATTGTTTGATTGTTTTTATACCTGTTTACACAAGAGCAGCAATGTTGTGGTGCATATATGAAACAAAACACAAAATCACTGATACTCCATTAAATTCCATTCAGTACACTAAATGTACTCTTCAGTTTTCCAGTACTCCTGTATTGAAAAAACTAAGGAGGACATACTCCTGATGTTGAAAAATTATCTGGAGCCCTGTCAGTAACATGGGTTCCAATAAGAGTGATATAACTGAAATGCTTATTTGTGGATGTTCTTCTTTGATGCCATCTTACGCCAAGATATAATGATTTTCTACATTTGACTAAGATCAGCAGCAATTTCAGGATATGTAGTTTTTCTCTAACATGGATAGGAATTCAATTGTTTCGAATGGAGAAAGATAAATAATTTAGACATGCCTTTGTGAAAATAAGCATGCCCATACCTTTTGAGGATGCAATTGAACTCAAAACATCACAACAATTATGTCATTTCAACTTACAGTTTAATAAATCAGTAAACATCAGGGCTCCACTTTTTCCAGTACTCCTATATTGAAAACATAAGGAGTACATACTCCTGATGTTGAAAAATTATCTGGAGCCCTGTGTATATTGTTTATGGAAGACTTTTTTCTATTTTAGGGAGGAAAAAGGCAAATTTAAAGCGACCTGGAAAAGCTACTGTTCAGGTATGTGTATTAATTGTCTTCAGTTTGAGTTTTGTGATGAGTCACAATACTATTTGTATATTTAGTTTAGGTGATTAACCACAGGGGAAATCATTTATAGTACAATATCAGTTATAAAATACTATTTTGATGGTAATAGCCAGTTTTGAAAACTTACTGTTGATTGTACATTGTACAGATTCCAGACTTGAGCAATCCAGAGGCAATGCAGCGTTTCTTCCTTCAAGAGGTACAGCTTGGTGAAGAACTTCTGGCTACAGGTAACATGATACAATGGATAATAGCAATCTGTTTCTCCTGTGCTCAACTTGTAGTGGGGTAGTCTGGTGGTTAAAAGGTTCGCTTGTCGCAACAATGACCTGGGTTCAATTCCTAACATGTACCCAATGTGTGATGCCATTTTAGGTGTCCCCAATCATGATATTGTTGGAAAATTGCTAAAAGCTGCGTAAAATCCAATCAATCACTCACTCACTCACTCACCTGCGAGTCTGGATAACAACCGTTGTGTGTCATTGTACAATGAGGTTATCGTAGATCATTAGTGGTGCTATAAGCCACTAGTTTCCATTGCTACAGTCAATTATCTTCATGTTTCTGTAATAAAACTCTGTGAGAGACAATGCATACTACACTAGTGGTGTGACGATTCATCGATACGCATCGATCCATGGGCCGCCGATACAGTGAAGTGATACAAAGTTATACATTGTTGTACATCCCGATACGATACTTCAAATGGGCCACGATGCATCACGATATCCGTCAAGAAAATAGACTTACTTTTGTTTGATGATTAAAATATAATTATGTATACTTATTTTCCCTTCATAAGGAAACGTTTTCTCGGAAATTCTTGCGTCAAGAACTGTGTCAGACATAGCGCTCGCATATTATGAACATTCACAAAGTCTGTGTATAAACTTCTGAATGAACACTGAACAACGCTGGTGGAATTTTACGAAATACTTTGAAATTGGGTTTGTTTTGATTTGAAGGTGTTTTATAGTTGTTGTTAGAATTAAAGATTTTAGTATCGTGATGCGTATCGTATCACCACCCTTATATTGGGATTCGTATCGTATCGCAGCTTAGGTGCACAATACTTTGGCAATATATCATCGTGACTACAATTTTAGTATCGTGATGTATCGTATAGCTTGTATGCCAATACCAGCACTATACAACACTTCAAGACTTGAAAGACTAGAGGGAATGATGTAACACTTTCATCTTGTGAAACACTTATCCCCAAATATATTGTTCAGGTGTTCTGTTAACACGAGGGTATTTTGGTAAAACTGTCTTCAAGGTTGTCCTAACAACAATTCTGCTTTTCACAAGTTTTATATAGGGGAAAACAAAATGTGTGTGGTTGTTTACAACTTTATGTAAATGTAAGCTTGCTTGTTGTCATGGTGAAAAGTGGGTATCTCGTGTATATCCTAACATAATATTTGAATTATTTCAAAACTAAGTTTTCACAGAGCACTACATTAATCATGCCAGTATGGACCAGATCAGGTGACATTCATTCACAGTTTACACTTGGCCATTAGAAACATAAAGCAGTGGTCAAAAACGGTCAAATTAAGCCTGAAAGTCCAGGGCCGTGTCTTGTCTCCAATATAGGCAGAAGGGTAGGCAGAAGTACTATAGTAGCAAATAGTCCTGTTGTGATTCACTTGTGTATTTGGTGATTCTAACCATATTCCTTCATGAATTAATTGTTTTATTCATGGTCATTAGTATTTAATATTTACAAGTAGTTTTAAAATCTTTTTCCACTTGGAACTAGGTTGGTGTTTATCTAAGTCAGATATGCAAAATTGAATTTATTTACTGTTATTCGGCTATACGCGACATTGTTCCCGATGTATTACTTCTTAGATATACAGAAAATATCATTTTAATGTTTCACCAAACAAATTATGACATGTTTGTATCTTAATTCATTGATATTTAACATAAAGTATTCATGAATAAATGTTCGTAGTCATTACTTTATATTCATTAAACACATCATATTTGCCTCAGTGTATTCGTTGCAGCCCTAGTTGTAAACCTAGGAGACAAGGAATGAGGATTCTTAAAGGAGAAGTGTACACAAATAAATCACATTTATTCTTATGTGAATCAAAGTGAACTGTTTTAATGAGCTAATACCAATGTTTGAAAATATACACTCATTTTTCTTGCACTGTAAGTATAACCCTCAAAATAAGTGCTGAAATGTTATGCCAATATGAGGCCTTTGTTTGCCGAGCTAAACAAACCAGAGTTACCACCCTTTGATTATGATGTAATTGGTGCAACTTGACTTTAAACTGGTCTCCTGTCTAGTCCCAAATCAAAAGATAATAATACTGAAATTATTCACGAGAAAAAAGTTTCCGAAAATACGAAAGAAGCATAAGAACAGAAAATGTAAGCAGCAGGACAGATTGATCGTGTGTATTTTCATTCATAACGTCACCTCAATGAAAACACTAAATATGTATAACAATGTTGACGTCCATATGACATCACTGTCGGGAAGTGACTTTTTGAAAATGGCGTGTTCACTGACATGAATACGCCAGAGTTTTCAAAGGAAATTTTCATTGTTTCAAGCAACGTATATGCATAAATGTGACATGTAAGTAGTCTTTAAATTCTGTCAGTCTGCTGGTGGTTATTTTATTTTTATTTTCATTGTGACAAAGAGAAATAATCAGAAATTAAGAGAAGTACCGTCATCGTTGTGCAAAAGTTTGCGTCAGTCATGGCGTCATGTTTTCAGAAACTATAATATGTTGTGATGAATCTAGAAAATCATTGGAATACACTTATTTTATTTATGCTACGATACCTTTCCCATCCATGTTCTAAAACTAATGAGCAAGTGTATGCAACAAGTAGGCGAACGGATACACAGTGCAAAATCTGAGATTGGCTTTGTTTGCATTTCAAACAACAGGTCATTTCCAAGCGCGGCATCTGATATATTTCGTTCGATTTCACTGAAACACTTCGAATTGGTGACAAAGTCCATTTGTCAGTTTATTTTGAACTGTATGAGGAATTCAGGGATTTGTGTAAGGAAGATGGTGTTGAATTATACAATTGATTTTATGGGCGAAACATAACCGACATACATGTGACGTGATTTTGTTAAACACTCTGTAATATGGCTGAAAATTCACTTTGACGTTAATTGTGTTTGTGTATTTTCCAAAACATTCTCAGCGATTCTCGGTTCATACGTCTTTTCTTTTAAATTCAATTCTCCCAGTAAAATTTGACATTTGAATTAAGACATACTATAAATTACGCAAAACGCAGTGAATGGTGATTTAATAATGTGTCAAAACTGGCGAGATTTACGATGCATGTAATTTTCAGTATATTTGATCTACAATGAGCGGATGATATCATAGAAAAACGAATTTCAAACAGAGTTCAAAACTGCAAATTGCCTTTATTTTCGTGATGTATGTGGATATGGTATCGATATCAAAGTGAAGATGGAAGAGGAGGGACATTACGTACGATTGATGTAGAATTTTAGTAATAAACGTAGAATGCCGGCACATTCACCGATGGCAAGATAGATGTAGTGCATATACGTTTTAGTTTTTGTGCAAAATGATACTGTTGGAAAGGCGACCGACTCAGGTTGAGTGTTATACAATTTGGTTATGTGGTAACACTTTTAGTACAATATATACAGTAGTTTTTCAAACTGCAACGTCATTACAGTGTAGAACTTACCACATAGCCAGCTGACAGCCAGGCAACAGGTGGATTAAAACAGTAGCCTGCGCATCCAGGCACAAGAACCACACCTATACCTGCACCACGTGTAATGGGTCAAATATGGTCTAACGGCGTATTTGTTTATCGTTTGGGCATCAATGATATCATTTCCAAGGGACATAAGCCATGGTGTGTTTATTGTGGACATGTTGAAAATATGAATTGATATAACGCAAAAAATATATTAGTTACTTCCGATATATGTACGGGTTTGGATATAAAACTACTTGATAAACACTTTTTATGATGAAAAAGTGCAAGACAAAAAGGTTAATTTTCGTGTACACTTGCCCTTCAAGTTTTTAACAAAAGTTCACCTGACTGCTTTTGTATTATCTCTTGTGTTCTTTTCACTTTAACAGCTGATTTGGACAGTAGAGTAGCCTAGTGGTTAAAGCACTCACTCACCACACGATGTGTACAATTTCTGTTGTCCGCCACCCACCCACTTGTGATGTAAACATTTTAACTCACTCACTTGTTATACTAATTACTGTTTCATAGTCAACAAACATGCAGATTTCAAAGGTGGTGTCATAAGCCCATCTCCTCTGAACCTTATAATGTCATTCTTACAGAGTTATTGGTACCATTCTTAGTATTAAGGCAACCAAGCTCTTTGTTAGAGAATCGCTGATCGATTGTGCAGCATGTCTTCAGCTTGTATTGCATGTTGCAGGTGACATGGAGGGTGGAGTGGAGCATCTGAGTACCGCTGTGGCTGTGTGTGGGCAGCCCCAGCAACTGCTACAGGTCCTTCAACAGACTCTTCCCCCTCAGGTGTTCCAGCTCCTGGTGCAGCGACTCCCAGCAGTCAGTCAGGTGAGAACAGTACACCCCCTTAGTCAGGTGAGTACAATACATGCTCCTCAGGTGTTCCAGTGCCTGGTGCAGCGACTCCCAGCAGTCAGACAGGTGAGAAGTGACAACAGTACTCAACCCTCAGTCAGATGACAACAGTACGCTCCCAATTAGTCAGGTGTGTACAATACATGCTCCTGAGGTGTTCCAGCTCCTGGTGCAGCGACTCCCAGCAGTCAGTCAGGTGAGAAGTGACAACAGTACTCAACCCTCAGTCAGATGAGAACAGTACGCCCCTCTTAGTCAGTTGAGTACAATACATGCTCCTCAGGTGTTCCAGCTCTGGTGCAGCAACTCCCAGCAGTCAGACAGGTGAGAACAATACTCCCCTCAGTCAGTTGAGAACAATAGTCCCCCTCAGTCAGGTGAGAACAATAACACACACACACACACACCTCAGTCAGGTGAGAACAATGCTAGTCAGTCAGTCAGTCAAGAGTAATAAAACTAACACCTCAGGTCAGGTGAGAACAATCAACCTGTAGGTAACTCAGTTACAGTGACACCCATCAGTCATTCATGTAAAAGCAATACTTCCCCTCAGGTTAGTTTCACAATTTCTGCGCTGAATTCAGAAAAGTTGAGAATTATAGACTGGCTTTCATCTTCACCTCACATAGCTCCAGGTAACTCTGCTGCAGGAAGTACTGACACATATGTTCCTCTTCAGCGTCTGTCAGGTGGAATACCCACTAGTGGTCCCGAGGTATCGACCCTGGAAGAAGATGACCTTGAGTGACCAAGACGTCTGCTTCTAGACATTCCTGGGCCCACTTGCACAAAGCCATCAAGACATTGATCCCTGTGATGGATGTGTGATTTTCATCACTCCCAAGATTACTTTGTGCAAATCAGCCCTGGTCAGTGTGTCTCAAGTGATCACCTCACAACATTGTGTGTTTGCGTATGGAAAGAGTTATCTCCCTTGGAAAATATTCATGAGACTTAAGCCACAAGCATTGGACTAAAAAAAACAAAAAACCTACGTAATATATTTTAAAACCGAAAGTTTGTTCAAGTATATAATACAAACTTAATAAATTATGATAGGGTGGTTTTATTCAAATGTTTTGGAGAGGGAGTATCTTTTTATTGCATCAGATGTTGGTTCTTTCACTTGGCCATGAAACAAGTTGGCAGTCTTTAGCTGGATTCTATTTGAGTGTTTTTAATCATAAATTAATTAAACCTAAAAACCTAAACCTATATATACAGTGAAACCATGTTAGTCTAGAACAGGTTTGTCAGGAAACCTCAAATTACAGTCAATTGTTTGGGATGTCTATGTAATCACAGAGATATTACTACATACATTATAATTTGTTAATCCAGAAACTTGTTAATCCAAGTGATTAACTGAGAACAATTAGTTCGGGAGGAACATAGTTTCCTTGTAATATGGGGGCGGTGGGGTAGCCTAGTGGTTAAAGCGTTGGCTCATCACACCGAAGACCCGGGTTCGAATCCCCACATGGGTAAAATGTGTGAAGCCCATTTCTGGTGTCCCCCGCCGTGATGTTGCTGGAATATTGCTAAAAGCGGCGTAAAAAACCAAATTCAGTCAGTCAGTCAGCCTTGTAATATGACACCATCATTCCTAGATTGTTGTCATCTATACAGTACGTCTAAATCTTCCTCCTACTATGTGAGTACAGGACAAAGGACACCAAGAGCCAAGGTGGCTAATGTCAAGTTCTTAACCAATTAGTGTGTGTGTGTGTGTGTGTGTGTGTGTGTGTGTGTGTGTGTGTGCGTGTGGTGGAGTAGCCTAGTGGTTGAAGCGTTTTCTCATCACGCTGAAGACCCGGGTTCAATTCCCCACATCGGTACAGTGTGTGAAGCTCATTTTTGGTGTCCGCCGCCATGATATTGCTGGATTATTGCTAAAAGCGGTATAAAACCATACTCACTCACTCACTTAACTAAATCTTAGTTGATTATTAGTTGGTTACTGGTGTCTTTGGCCAGGTAGCATGTCAAAGGTCATGGCGACATCTAGAATTGCAGGAGATGATGAGCATCTATGCTGAGCATGTCATCAGATCGTCAGTTTTACTGTTCTTGTGTTTTTGGATCATCTCGTTCAACTTCTTTGCCATTAGAGATATACTGTAAAATGTGTGAATGACTGTGTTTCTGTTTTACACGAATAAATCATATTAGGTTAAACATCGTCGTCTTATTTGTGCTGTAACATAACATGCTAAGTTATCCTGGTAAACCTTCAAGGCTGTATGTTACTCTGTTGAGAACATTCTCCAGCTCAGCATGTGTTTAGTTTTTTATGGCCAGTCTAGATCACAGAAAGACAAGTGTTTGATTGTATCAGGGATGGTTGGATGGTCTAATGGTTAAAGCATCTGGACATCACACTGAATACCTGGGTTCAATTCCCCACATGGGTTTACTATGTAAATCCTGCGCCTGTTGTCACCCACCATGATATTGCAGGAATATTATTGCTGAAAGCATTGTATAATCATACTCTCACTCACTCACTCACTTGTGTCAAAAAAGCCTTATCAGGCTATATTCTTTGAAGTCAGCTCTTACTAGAGATCAGAAAAACAAGTTGCTGTTTGCAAACCAAGGAGACCTGTGAAGATATGGGTTAGAATTGATCTTTAGTAACCCATGCTTGTGGTATATATTTGAGGTTAAAGCGCTGGCTCGTCACGAAGACCCGACTATGGGTGGTCAGGCTGCTGACTTGCTGGAATATTGACACATAGAGAATCTATCATCGAATATCACTCTTCTTTAGTTTTCACTGAAAATGTCATCTCTGATATGGTACTGCCATAATACTTGCAATTATTGTACAACATCAGTTATCTCCCAAGGTTACAAATATCCTCAGGCTTTTGAATGGTAAATGGCATCGGAGGATGCTCATATTTGATCACTGGATTTCTGGTCCATCATTATTTACAGAGTGTTGATATCTGATTTGATACTCACGAAGTGGTTAAAGCGCTGGCTCGTCACCGAAGACCGGGTTCGAATCCCCACATGGGTACAATGTGGAAGCCCATGACTACTAAAAGCGCGTAAAACTAAACTCAGTCAGAGTCAGTCTTATACTCACTGGAGCCAACTCTTACATGCATGATAGTGGAACATTGGCTGACGATCTCTTGGCTGTGATACGAAAACTGTTGAAAGATGTGTAGTTTTACCCTGTCTGGATTGCAATTAAGGGATGAAAGCAGAGCTTGTCGGCATGGAGCCCTGCATCACACAAGACCAGATTAAGATGATCGTCCATGACTTGTTTTTCGAAGTCCGATGACCTAATTTGTCTGGCATTAAGGATCGTCCATGACTTGTAAGTCGGATGACCTAATTTGTCTGGCATTAGGCAATTCCATAACCCTTGCCGACAAGGGCGAGTGGGAGTCCGCCTCTCCACCAGTACCATCAGGAGGGTGCGGGCAGCTGGTCTGAGAGATTGTAGTCCGATCAGACGGCCAAATCTCAGGCTCCGAGAAAACCACAACTTGTTGACATGTAGTACGTTCACTGGTCTGATGAAAGTCGCCATGTTCTTACCAGAGACCGACGGCCATTTTGGAGATAAACATCATGTGTTGGCCAATTTTCGGGTTTGACGGGAATCATTTGGAACCGACGGCGTCAGCCGGAGGTTTCAAATGAAATATTCCCGTGCTTCAAATGCTCAAGAACACCCGGAAATTAGCCAACACATGATGTTTATCGACATTGTAAACACAAAAGTAAACCAAAAGGTCCACACGCGTTTTTGATTGACATCGTGTACGGGTACAGCAGTGAAATGTCATCAGCCGGCCGTTTCGGCTGTCTCCCATGATTTTAATGACGTCATCACAGACATGTTGCGTATGTCCATGGAGACGTCGTAGCGAGGCACATTACCAGATGATCTGCAACTGAACCATTTGGTGAGGATGCGTTTCGTATGACTGCAAATTGGATCTCATTACAGTCCCATGGACACTCATTAGTACAGTCGAGCCACATTTTGATAACCACCCCTTTTGCCAGTCATCCGATATTTATGGATTTCAACGCTAGACCTCACCGTTTTCGAGCCGTCATCCTCCATTTGCAGAACAACGCTATGGAAATAAGGCCCGCAAGGAGCAGCTATATGAATCCCATCTTTGGGACTATCTTGCAAGCCATGATCTCGGTACTGATCCTCCTGTTCAAAATCTGCAGGAATTGATGCAGGTACTCCTTGAGGAATGTGAGAAGCTTCTGATGTTGTGAATTTAACGCTTGCTTGCCAGTATGTAGAGGAAAATGGTAGATGTTATCCATGCCAGGAGTGCCTACGCTAGGTACTGATGTTGTCGCCAGTGGTGGTTCATACAAACAATGTGACAGTCAAACTGGTGGTGTCGTCATGGTGACCATACTTTCCGGCTTTGGTGATATTCACGTTTTTGTGTATTCCTCTCAGATTGCAAGTAAACTATTACTAAATTTGAATGTCAGTTTCGTGGGTTTTTTTTAATAAAGTAAAATGTTTAACAGTTTCCATTTGTTTTTCAAAGCATATACAACAATATGTAGAGTTTTCCTACTTATAAAAACGGGTGGTGCAGGATTTATGCTCATGTGTATATTCGTTGATAGGAGGGATTCTAAGAATAAAATTGAGTAAGATATGTGATATACACGCTAAAAATATTTTTTTAACACAAACGAACCTATAGATCTATTCAAACAAGATGTGTGATATACGCGATCAAACTATATTTGTTAACACAAACGAACCTATAAATATATTCAAACAAGATATGTGATATACACGATCAAAATATATTTGTTAACACAAACGAAACTATAAATATATTCAAACGATTTGTGATATACGCGATCGAATTATATGTATTAACAGTAAAAAATGAAAGCAAATCCGTGATGTACACAAAGGAATTATATTTATTAATAGCAAGGAACCAAAGAATATATTTGAACAATATCTGCGGCATAAATTCACCGGCCTCAAACGAGATACGACCGTGAGCCAACCATATTGACGAGTTTTCTATAGCGTCGTCATCCTTCTGTTGTCGACAGGAGTCATGGGTGTGTTTCAGGTGCCTTCATCCCTGACAGGCCAGTCCCTCGAAGCTGACTCGTGATCCACCACAGACAATCCGTGTCAGTTAGTTCTCTTCTGATATTGGCTCAGACCATCAGTTCGGACAGCTGGGAAATTAATTGGGCTGTCTAATACACGATGATTCTTCCGTGTACGAGACTTGTCTGTTTCCATAGCGATACATGACCACAAGTGTTAGCGTTATCGGTTGATGTTTGGATGTTTGGAAAGAAAAACTTGAATATAACATAGTTATGACATTTCTTATTTTCGAGTAACTAAACAACACGGGTAGATGACACTGTGATAAAATACGGTGGATAGAAATGTAGATTAGACAACACGGGTAGACCATGCTGCAGGAATGTAGGGCAGGCAACACGGGTAGACCATGCTGCAGGAGTGCAGGGTAGACAATACGGGTAGACTATGCTGCAGAAATGTAGGGTAGACAAAAAGGGTATACCATGCTGCCGGCGTGTAGGGTAGACAACACAGGTAGACCATGCTGTAGTAGTGTAGGGTAGACACCACGGGTAGACCATGCTGCGGCGTGTAGGGTAGACTACACGGGTAGACCATGTTGCAGGAGTGCAGGGTAGACTACACGGGTAGACTATGCTGCAGGAGTATAGGGTAGACTACACGGGTAGACCATGCTGCAGGAGTATAGGGTAGACAACACAGGTAGACCATGCTGCAGGAGTGCAGGGTAGACTACACGGGTAGACTATGCTCCAGGAGTGTAGGGTAGACTACACGTGTAGACCATGCTGTAGTAGTGTAGGATAGACTACACGGGTAGACCATGCTGCAGGAGTATAGGGTAGACTACACGGGTAGACCATGCTGCAGGAGTATAGGGTAGACAACACAGGTAGACCATGCTGCAGGAGTGCAGGGTAGACTACACGGGTAGACCATGCTGCAGGAGTAAAGGGTAGACAACAAGGGTAGACCATGCCGTAGTGGTGTAGGGTAGACTACTCGGGTAGACCATGCTGCAGGAGTGCAGGGTAGACAACACGGGTAGACTATGCTGCAGCAATGTAGGGTAGACAAAAAGGGTTTACTATGCTGCCTCTGTGTAGGGTAGACAACACAGGTAGACCGTACTGCAGGAGTCTTATGTGCGGTCACATCTTACGGTCATGAACGTTGTTCTACTGGGCCCCGTTTCAGAAAGCTATCGTAGCGCTACGATTGTCGTAAGTCAATGTTACAATAGGAGATACGACAGTGGTAGTGCTACGGTAGCTTTTGTGAAACGGGCTCCTTGACCGTAGTGATTAACGTAGTAAACCGTAGTTTGATCGTAGTGCCATGTTACCACGGCGTACTACGGTCAACACAACGGTACATTAGGGTCAATTATGGTCTTCTGCGTAGAACAAGGGTCAACAACGTTAAAACTACGGTAACAGTAGGGTCTTGGCATTCAAGCTAACCGAAGAGATATTTTGAACATATTGGTCAAACCACGGCCTAATCATGGGTTTGCTGAAGTTTAAAGTACGGTCATAACTAAGGTGATCTACGTTGGACTACTCTTAAATACGTCTAACTACGGTCCAATACTGTCTACTACGGTCTGTTACGTTCATTCCCTACTACGATCAACTAAGTGCGTGTCCGTAAGATGTGACGGTCGCTTTAAGTGGAGAACATGGTTACATCGGTACCACAATGCATTGACAGGGCATTGCCATACTTACCCCTATAATTTTGTTTATATGTTTTTTCATAACCAGCAATGTATATTATATGTCATGAATAAATGATAATTGTGTTTTAATTATGTTTGATTTTTTGGTTGCATGTGACCTTTAAGTATGAACATCTGTTGTAGGCCTTATGATTGGATCTTCTCCCGAAGTTGCAATTGCCAAATCAACAACAGTAAGGGGGAAGGCGAGAATAGTTGATTTATAACCCATTAAATGTGACCTGTTTCCATGGATACCACAGTAAGCTGGTAGCAACGAGTCGGCCCCTTTGATAAATAGAAACACAACCATCTTTGGTTCAGTTACACATTTGCTAGAACCGTCACTGGCAGGTGTGTGCGGTTATG